ATGAGGGTATTTGCAGGAGTATTATGTGCATTGTATTCTGATCATTAAAGATAATGAATAAACCCAGTGTTTTGTTTGTTAACGCCGCACTCAGCAGTATTCCAGCTCTATGGCGGCGGTTTGTAAATAACTGATTCTGGACCAGACAATCCAGTGATCAACATCATGAGTATCGATCTACGCAATTTGGATACGATGACATGTGTCAACCAAGTCAGCGAACCTGACCATACGATCCCGTTAGTCGCCTTTTACGACAAGCATGAGTTGCTGAATACCAATTCTACCCCGGATCTGCACGGGTAGAATTAGCCAGGGACCCCATAGTGGTCGTATTGTGGTATCCCGTCGACATTCCGGGAAGATCGCCAACAGTTATTAAGCCATGCTTGTTTTACGAACGACTTGGTTGGTCAGACTTGTTGACTCCGTGTAATCGAACCCTGATGATATCAATCACTGGCCTTTCTGGTCCAGACTCGATTATATACAAATCGGCGACCCATAGCAAAAATGTTGCGGAGTGCGGCGTTAAACAAACACACAATCATTTAGCTCCTCTGTACATGTACCTAAATATTTCAAAGTGACAGTGAGTTTAACACCTAGTGTTCATACCAATATTTAGCTTTTCTGTGTTAGGTGAATTCAGATGTTACTTATTCTGTTTCATCTGAAACTTTATCCCTCCCCCTACGCGCTGGCCATGGAAAGATCCGCGAAGTTTAAACAGAGATTTTATGCCGCTTCATTCATTTATACCCGCGTTGCTCTGTCTCTTGATATAGTATCGTGTCGAATCGAAGCCAATATCTGAATTACTGAATTTAAATTGGGTGTTTTTATGAATTGACGCCAATTGTTTACCAGAAATTAAACACCGACGCGAAAGGGTAAAGATTGTGAGATGATAATTCATTTCAGGTCCTCGTTGTGCCATACATGCGGCGGTGATGTGTAGGACTCATGTACAACAGGCGGGCACTGTGCCGTGTTCGAGGACACATACAGATGACGTACAAATTGGATTCCGTTACCTCGGCAACAGATTTGTGACTTAAACCTCCACCAACAGCCAGTTGTTCAGAGGCAGAGTGTCAGCACAGACCGTCAGGAATCGACTGTGCCACGTAGGCATCCGAGCGAGACGACGAGTGGGTGAGTGAGTTGGGTTTTACGCCGCTTACAGCAATATTCCAGCAATATCACGTCGGGGGACACCAGAAATGGGCTTCACACGTTGTACCCATGTGGGAAATGGAACTCGGGTTCGTCGGCGTGACAAGCGAACGCTGTAACCACTAGGCTACACATAATACACATCTATTTCTACTTCTGTTCTGGCATTCAATTCAACAAATGTCAAATTTCTAATTTTGTTGAGTAGAGTAAAACAGAGTTTGCTCAAATAGTAACAGATTGTAATCAGAAGGTCTGTCATGGTAAAGTACCTGTATCCAACACATTAGTCATGTACAAAGAATACACATCGCGGTAGACCGGAGAAAACCTTTTTCTCCACTGACAGGTCGAGAATAATGACGTGTATTTTACTTTCGAGCATTGCCGATTATGGTAAATACAGGCCGACCATGTGGTATGGTAAGAGACTGTTTGTTGTGTAAAAGATGACAGTCACCTTTTGTAACTATGCTAAACTTTTATTTTAATGAGAAAATTATTCATACCACGATACTATGTGAAATACCCGGATGTATATGAAAGCATGCCATACTGTCATGGCGATTGAAGCAGGAATACTCATTTATGTCCGAAGACCCAATACTATGAAGCCAAGGCATGCTCAGTCTTCTTTATTCGTGTACATGTAACTTGTATATGACCAACTAAAGACGTTTGGACTCAACGTATTCGTCGTCATAATTCCAAGCTAGATAATACCCGTGAAGGTTAGAAAGCACCTTCAGTAACCCATGCTTGCCGTAAGAGGCGACTAACGGGATCAGGTGGCTTCGTTGACACATGTCATCGGTTTCCAGTTGCGCAGATCGATGCTCATGTTGTTCATCACTGGATTGTCTGGTCCGGACTCGATTATTTACAGACCGCCGCCATATAGCTGTAATATTGCTGAGTGCGGATTAAAGTTAAACTCACTCACTCACTCACTAAGCTAGATTCGACGTATACACATTGACAACGCCATCCAAATATGTTGTCATAACTGTGGTCAATATATGAAGTAGGTTTTAGTTTTAAGGAATGAATTATTACTATAAAACATGACTCTATGTTTTCCTTGTCATCCGTTACAATCTTAGTCACATTGTCTTTAAATGTTAAATCTATATCCCCTTGATGGTCACTCTCAAGTCATGCTAAAAGACTGACAGACGTGGCCATGGTGGATCCACATATCTCCACGAATCGTCATTTCAACAGAATGTATTTTGCAGAACAATGTGTCTTTGATAAAACATGGGGCTGCTCTGAGATTTCGTTAACCATAACCTACACTAAAGCCGTTCGTGAAATGATAACTCGGCGATTACCTTGAATATAGGAGGAGCAACTACGCAGGTGATAGTACTAATCACTTTGGTGAAACTATGGTGTCCTGTAATTGCCATCGCGTAGCGCGTAAAAAAACCGAACGACGTCGCATAAATAAGAAGACGTCGCTTAGTAAAATATTTGTTTCATATTTAATGCTGCAAAAATGATGGGAGACGTCGTATTTGTTTATGCGACGTCGTTTGTTTTTTACGCGCCGCGCGATGGCAATTATAGTACACCATATGAAACCGACGAGCTCATCGAGTATGATGCAGACATAGTGTATGGGGGGTGTGGGGTGGTGTGGGGTGGGGGTGTGTTAGCCTAGTGGTTAAAGCGTTGGCTCGTCACGCCGAAGACCCGGGTTCGAATCCCCACATGGGTACAATGTGTGAAGCCCATTTCTGGTGTCCCCCGCCGTGATGTTGCTGGAATATTGCTAAAAGAGGCGTAAAACCAAACTCAGTCAGACATAGTGCTGGTAATACGAGTAAAACGGGAATTCGAGATGAATAGCAGTAGATCCTGATAAAGTTAAGGGACGTTACTCTGTACACTGCCGCCACCGGACCACGCTGTCCTCTTTATATTTTAAATAATATCAGTGACTTTCGTTTCTTGGTTCGTACGCATTGTAATATAAACATTATCCTGGGTATTTAGGCCACGAGTCAAATACCATTTGTCTGAAATTCTCGTCGATGGGGCAGGTAGTTAATATCGAATTCTTCATGATCAAATGTCTTGAAAACACATTCACTTTCATGTTGATATACAGATGCTGTAGCTAATGTTATGAACTGTGTTTAACGACGTATTTCCTATGCATAAACATGACCGGTTCAGAGTGTTTAGCTTCTGCGTTTAGGGATGAGACAGCATTTTCCTGTAAAGCTGATGATTACGTAAACATCCATTACGTCCCAGGTTTAACGTGAATACGGAACAGATTTGCATATTTCAAACAAACCACCCAAGGAGTAATGTACAACAGAGTCTTGATTGCTTCTTTAACCTGTAAAATAACTCCTCGCAGTCATAAATAAGACCACCGTCAGCGTGATGTTTAAAAAGCATTTTAAACTAAATTACTACGAAACTACTTAAGGAAGTCGAGCAAATCTCTCTTTTCTGTAATATCATATGATTATCCTTCTCGATGATATATGGGATTCTGTTCAAGGTCAACACAACTCGAGTAACTTTATCAAGCTGAACACAACACGTGTATCCTATTACACCACGCATACAAATACTTACGTCACACATAGATATAATGACACCACACACAGAGGTAACCATACACGTGCACAACCCACGTAAACAGGTACACCCCCCCTCCACACAGACACACACACGCGCACCCATATACTTCTCACGTGCACCTCACGCATATGAACACACACACGAACAAACGAACACATACATACCACAAAAACATGTCACACCACATGCATATGGATACACACGTAACGGACATACACACCAGACAACCGTACAGGCCACATGCGCATGTGTACACCACATAGTGACATAAATTATATACAGACACCTCCTTCCCAAGCTCATACCCAAAGACACATACCCCACTAAGTAACATGCAGACCCCCACCCCCCCACTCGCCACACGCACTCTAAGTCACATTCAGACACTACACAGACTCAAACTCACCCACGAACAAGAACGCTGTGTCTCGCACACGCACACACACTATCACACACACACACACACACTATCACACACACACACACACACAAGCATTATCACACAGTAAGTCACATGCAGACACCACACAGACTTAAACTCACACACAAACACACTCATCACTGTCTGCGTAAACGTCTGCATCGGCAACACCAACCACACCTACCCTGGTCACTGTGGAGTGACTGATGGATGCACCGCAGTTGACAGTCCTCTCTGACGTAGTCACGGCCTAATTTCACATACCTGTCATGGCCGGAGGCGACACGGTATGCTAAATGGTTTACGTTTCATTCAGAAACATTCACGCAATATATATTTCACACCTGACAACACACATAACATATATGTCAAATTTCACTCTCTTTACCTCGTTACCTCGTTAGGATGAGAAAGCCACAATAACTCGGTGCGCCTAGTGGCAGCAAGAGTTGTATACTCTCCAGGGAGTTGAGCATGCACTAGTGCGTGGATATGTGCGCTATATAAATATCCTATAATAAAATAAAAAATAAAAATATATCAACTCGTATTTCATAATAGATTTTTATTCAGTACGTTATCTTATTCATTTCTAGCAAATAGAACAAAAACTCAGGGTGCTCCAAGAAAACCCAATATACGCAGGCAACCCTTTCCCACGCCATCGACGTTCCAAAAAAATAAGATTAAAAAGGTTTACACCTGACACGACCGACCCATTTACATATATTGTGCAGAAGGCGGTAATTACACCAGCCCAGCAAGTTAGTCACCAACTCGCACATGACCTGGCAGTCATAACACTTCCTTTGTACGAGGAGATTCGCTTTCACTGCTCCAAGCCGCGGTCTATTCACGTACTCAAGTACATGTTTGGTTTGAGCGAGATCCCGTTGAATGACACATTTAAGTTTTTGTCCCCAGCAGGTTTTCAGTCGGGATATCTGTGACATGTCACCCCTTCTCGACTCGTATATTGTTGGTGTACTGTAAGGAGTTTACCTTTTGGTGGTGTTAGGAGCTGAAGTCAGGGTGGGATGGCAGTTTCCAGAAGTTAGATTGTTTGGAGTGAACAGCTGATACATAAAGGTACGTTGTTTTGAATTACAGGAAATGGTTAATAATGTGAATAGTGTTGGTTAATTCTTTTGCTTCTATACACTATTCAATGTACCTAATCCTCATGTATTGCCAATGTAGCTATACAGAGTCATGGTATTTGTACATCGAGGGTATTGCTTCACTGAGATGTTATTGTGTTAATTTGATCAGATGTACCGCACTGACATATCAACGTGTTATTTGAGGCCAATGGTAATGTCAAGCTCAGATTTGGCTCTACTAGGATTGCCCTTGTTGTTTATGGTTAACTTGGGACCCATGTATAAGATAATTATAGCTTACAGCAATCAAACCCTCCTTAATAGACAATAATGTAAACTTTACAAACTTTGTGTGGGGATTTTACGTATGTTTTCATCAGTATTATCGCTAGAGTTGCCTCCCCTTCTACTAGGTGTGGGTATTGCAGAGAATTTTCATATTGCGATGCGATATGTATTGCAATATATTGCAAGAAGTATTTTTAAACAAGAAACTACTTATAATCGAGTAGTATGTATGTACAACAAAATGACAATGCTTGATTAAGCTTTATTAGAAACCTTTAATCATGACAAAATATAAATGTCAATAATATTTGGCACAAATGAAACAAGGAAATATCCGAAGATTTCCGAGCGTTACGAAGTTTTCTGAATGCAAGTCAAAATACCGGTTTTCGATCAGCGTATCGCAATACGTATCGTTTTCATGTCTGAACCGGTAAATACCGGTAAACCGGTTATATTGCGAAGCCCTACCTTCTACCACACAGTTTTGCCCAGTACCAAGGGACCTTTGGGCGATATTAGCATGAGCACTGATGTAGATTAATCATGAACTATCTGCACATGCGCCTTCTATGAAGGCTAAATGATAACAACAATAGTGCCCAACACCATGTCGGTGGATGTTCAGCGTTAGCACAGAGACTTCTGCAATCCATCCCTATCGGAAGAAGCGACTAACGGGATCGGGTGGTCAGGCTCATAAGACTAGTATCGTTACAATGACGTGACTCGATTCTCTACTTGCCTTCGCCATGCTTGTGATTTTGAGTCAGCGGTTCCTCCATGGTACGGCCAAGTATATGCAGGGGGCGTCATTGAAAATGGCAGTGATAAAATTCTTTGGAATAAGAATAGACACCCTCAGACGAATCCACACCAACAAACCTGACCTTGTTGTTAAATATAACCAATTCAATTATCATTGAATTTTCTTTCCCTTTTGACACACATGTGATCGACAAAATTCATGACAAACATGTCATATACGCTGTCTTGACTGACATCGGGAGTGTACCGTGTATGTATGTGTGTATGTGTATGCGTGCGTGTGTGTGTGTGTGTGTGTATGTATGTGTGTGTGTATGTACATATGTATGTATGTTTGTATGTATGTGTGTGTGTGTACATATGTATGTATGTATCTATGTATGTGTGTATGGATGCATGCATGCATGCATGTATGTATGTATGTATGTATGTATGTATGTATGTGTGTATGTACATGTGTATGTATGTATGTATGTATGTATGTATGTATGTATGTATGTATGTATGTGTATGTACATATGTATGTATGTATGTACATGTGTATGTATGTATGTATGTGTGTATGTACATATGTATGTATGTGTGTGTATGTATGTATTGGGGCGGTGGGGTAGTCTAGTGGTTAAAGCGTTGGCTCGTCACGCCGAAGACCCGGGTTCGAATCCCCACATGGGTAAAATGTGTGAAGCCCATTTCTGGTGTCCCCCGCCGTGATGTTGCTGGAATATTGCTAAAAGCGGCGTGAAACCAAACTCAGTCAGTCAGTCAGTCAGTATGTATGTGTGTGTGTATGTATGTTTGTATGTATGTATGTGTGTGTGTATGTATGTATGTTTGTATGTATGTATGTATGTGTGTGTGTGTATGTACATATGTATGTATGTATGTGTGTATGCATGCATACATGCATGTATGTATGTATGTATGTGTGTATGTACATATGTATGTATGTATGTATGTATGTATGTATGCATGCATGTATGTATGTATGTATGTACGTATGTATGTATTTACATGCGTATGTATGTATGTACATATTAGTGGTGTAACGATTCATCGATAGTATCGATGTTTGCATCGTCAACTACGCGATACGAGTGCATCGATACAAAACACATTTAGGCAATATATGAGGATATTTATATCGCAAGGCCACAAAAGACGATATATCCCGATACTACTTAAATACTACTTTAAGTTGTAAGGAGTATTGCATTAGGAGTAGGAAGGGAGTCTCTTTGAAATACTTCTAAATATTAAAAACAAACTGAACCTTATAGGAATCTGTTTGTGTCTGCCATCTTTGTTAGATGAACAAAGGAGTTGGTGTATCAGTGAAAGAATGTGAACATTTTTCAATCTCTGTGAACTGTAAAAGACTTGTCCTTAAGTAATTGAAACATGTTTTAGTTGTTTGACAAATAACACCATTTATTAACAACTATGAACGACGTGTTAGCTTTGTTAAGAAAGAGAAGATATATTTAGAAAGCATACTTAAGAGTTTTTTTCAGTGATTCTAGTATAAATTACATTGAATTGTCTGTGAAAGCATTGGTGCAGAAACACAACTTTCCAAGGGAAACCTAGATCAAGGTATACTGAATATGTTTGATTGTACTTTCTTAAGCATTAAATGCTGAAACTTTATTACATGAACAGCCTTTTAAGTGTGTGTGAATGTAGTACATGTTCTGCTGTACAACAAATAAAGATTCAGTCATTTTATCTATCATATATGTCCTGTGTTTAGAATTGTAAAGTATGGGGAAACGTATCGTATCGCCATCACTGTATCGTGATGATAATCGTCTCGCAGGTTCCTTGCCAATACTTTCATGATATATTGTATCGCCTCATTAAACTGGTATCAGGATATATCGTTTCGCCACTCAGGCACCGATACACAGCTCTAGTACATATGTATGTATGTATGTATGTGTGTATGGATGCGTGTATGTATGTATGTATATATGTATGTATGTATGTATGTATGTGTGTATGTATGTATGTGTGTTTGTACGTATGTATGTATGTGTATGTATTTAGTTATTTAAATCGGGATACAAATAATAATTACAATGATGATGATGGAGATGACGATGATGATGATAATGATGATGATGATGATGATGATGATGATGATGATGATGATGATGATGATGATGATATTACAGTAGTGATCGGAAGCAGCGACACACCACGACAATGCGACCTGAAACAGTGTTATGCATAGTGCTGGCTCTCCTGAACGTGGTTGACAGCGTGGACGTCCAACGTCTGCAGCATTACAGGAAGAAGCGACAACAGCAGCAGCCGGACCTTGAGGTTACAGCTCTGAGGATACAGAAAGTCCTCGATGTTCACAACACACTACGGAGGATGGAGAGCTCAACCGACATGAACATGCTGGTGGGTGTAGACTACAGTAGAAACTGTCAACGTGGTGGTCTGTGGCGTGATTGATCGCCAGTAATTATTGTCCGAAGCCTTCTATTCTATTGCACTGACCTTCATTTACTCACCTGTACAAGAACCAAGAATTAGTGTGTTAGATCGAATTCCAGGTTCGTGTTTGACTACGCCATGGTGATGACCTACGGTCAGATTATGACACAACTTTCCAGATTGAAGTTTATTGATAAGGTAATCGTACCTTGGTTGAACTCCCGTCAGTGTCGAAACTTTATGGTTTCAGAGTGTTGACGGGTCGTTTCTACTATATGGCGGAAACTATGTTTTGTGGAGGGTGACATTTGGTAAATTGGTATGAGTATTACGCGGTCAGTCGATGACGTCATTGATGATGGGTTGGATTGGCATATTAGTTTTTATTACGCCACTTCAATCACAAGACACAATATACATGAATTCGGTGCTAAAATGGGATTACTGTACCCCGTGCCCGTCAAACTCGTTCTTTTAGAAAGCATCCTTCTCGCTTTCACTCGTTACATACATTTGGAAACAACTAGAAATGATAAATGGTATCTGACGGACCCTCGCGTAGTAATCTCTATTTCTCTTCGTATCCCGTCAGTCGGAGAAGTCGCTCGAATCGGATCATTCCGGAAGCTGAATCAAGTTACTCGATCTTGATGTTCGGGATTAAAGGAAAGCATAACTATGCATTAAATACGATAATTATTTTAGTCAAGAATATCATATACAATTGTAGTAAGAAAGGTTTCATTCCAAATATTTCATACATCAAGGGACAAATCATACAATATTATAATACCACAAAATATGTATATGTCGTGCGGAATATACGGAATTTCTCAATCCGCACAGGTAATAGTTTGATCGGCATACGCAAAGGTATTGCCCCATTCCCGTCAACCGCGACCAAGCTTGCTTAATCTGCGGATTGCGCGCGCCTCACTGCGTATGATCCCGTGGAATGAGCAAGAAATGTTTTGATAATCAGATATGTTTTTATTGCAATAAGAGAGACATATTAAAGCACGATGATACGCAATTTATTATAACATTTAAAATACCCATTTATATCAACTAGCTGATAAGCTACATCGGCTGCACGCTTGTACTTCAGCCGTCTTAATATGCAAACCTTCGTCGTGTGATCTTGACAGTGTAGAATGTAACGATAACCATTGTCTTGTTTGCATATCAATCAAATCGATCTGACAGCGAGACTGAAACGTTTCAGACAGAATTGGTTTCACTATGACACCTTTTGATGCTTTTGGTCTTTTCAACCGACAGTTTCACAGGGATGACAAGACTTGATGGATGATCAACTTCTTTATTTTGACTATGGCGACGTTTTGGTATAGATTCTTATAACGTTTTCAAGCATATGGGGGAATGAAGGGGTACGTCAGTCATACACAAGATAAGATAGAGAGATAACAATAACAAGGGTGGAAAAACCAAGCATCAAAGAAAGTTACATGATGTAAGGAATGCGTGGGTGTCATTCGTCACCAGTCGCCCATTTCCGTAACCTCCATTCGTGTGCTGGCGATTAGGTGCCTGACTCTGAGGGTGTGGGTTCGAATCCAGGCTAGGACTCAACTAAAGTATACAAGAATCTGTACTTTACTGAGAAAATATGAAACATGTTCCATTCGGCTTGTCCTGAAACAAGACTAGTTTGTCACGAATGACGTGGGTGAATTCGAGTGCTGGCTTAGGATCACGGAAAGTGACGAACGTTCCCGAATGATTCTTTCAGACATGGCACAGCGGGATGGCAGTCGAGGCACAGAAAATGGTGGACGATTGTGTTTGGACGCAGAGGCCCCAGTCAGAGCTAAAGAGCTTGGTGCAAGGGTTTAGCCGCGTTTCACAGAATATCTACATGTCTCCAAGTACGGTGACATTGCCAACCGTATGAGTGAGGGAATTAGTTTATTGAACGCCGTTTTGGGCAGTAGTTCAGTTAACTCACGGCCTGTAAGCTGGAAGGGAAGCCTTTGATGCCGAAGATGTCACTAGCAGAATGGTTCTGGCAAACCAGGCATTGTTTCCTAGGATTCGAACTCAGGATCATTCTCAGTGGTCATACTTGACCTCAAATGTTACTACACCTTCCTGTTATATCGCGCATAGACATTTGGGGTCATTTTCTCTGTCCCAATTTGTATAAGTAGTCATAACGCTACACGATTATGACGTTTTATCAGGCTGTGGTCTGATATAGATTCAGTGTATGAACCTGCGATAGACATACGATGTAATAAATGTTATACACGATTGTTTAAAAAGTTCTTTTAAACACATGATGCTAATCAGTTGATTGTGTGGTCCTGTCTCGGTTAGAGACCGCCATTATATTGGCCGAGTTCGGCGTGAACGTGAAACAAACAACTGTGTTGTGGAACATTATGATTGACGTTTTGGAGGTAATCGTGCACGGCTGCCAGGAAAGGCTTCAGATTTCTAAAGGTGCTCCGTCAGTTCCCTATATTACTACTATCTTTACTTCAGCCTTCACCAGCATCGAGGAGGTTGCGACCAAATGGGCCTCTGAGAAGAACCACTACCAGTACCAGACAGGTCTGTGCAACAAAATGTGCTGGAACTACAAGCAGGTAAATGTTCCTTAGTACTGTTAGTGAGTTGGGTTTCACTCCATTTGGCAATATTCCAATATTCCAACGGCGTGTCGGCTTAATGTGGGAGGAAAACCCGAAGTAATGTATATAGGTATCTTGCTGAAAGTTTCTTGTGTCTGAATGATGATGTGTAGATGCTAAAACGTTCACGAAATCCTGTGATTGGGGTATGGACATATCTAGCACCTCTTCACATTCCTAAAAACTCACTTTCAATAATGCACATGCCACCTGAAGGAAGTGATCCGTTCCGTTCCGTTCCATTCCGTTCTTCATCATCTGGGTGGTGGGGTAGCCTAGTGGTTAAAGCGTTGGCTCGTCACGCCGAAGACCCGGTTTTGATTCCCCTCATGAGTACAATGTGTGAAGCCCATTTCTGGTGTCGCCCGCCGTGATATTGCTGCAATATTGCTAAAAGCGGCATCAAACCATACTCACTCACTCACTCTTCATCATCTGTTAACTTACCAGTTCATCCAATAAACCGCCATCCATAAAATGGCCCGGGTGGTCGAGATGGTCAGGTGGTTAATCAACCATGATTAAACCAGTGTAGTTAAGCAAGATCTTAGCTCTCGCTGTCGGTAAAGAAAAGATTCGATTTAAATTAGACTGCGTTCATAATCTCTCTCTCTCTCTCTCTCTCTCTCTCTCTCTCTCTCTCTCTCTCTCTCTCTCTGTGTACTGTACTTTAACTGTACTTTCTTGTGTTTCGTTCACCTTTGTACAGATACGTAACCAGAGTGAGTGAGTGAGTTTAGTTTTACGCCGCTTTTAGCAATATTCCAGCAATATCACGGCGGGGTACACCAAAATGGGCTTTACACACTGTACCTATGTGGGGACTCGAACCCGGGTCGTCAGCGTGACGAACGAACGCTTTAACCACTAGGCTACCACACCGCCCCACCTGATTGGAGTAAAATGGGTCGTCCTAAGGAGGACAGGTCCCCAGCAGTGTATGCTGGCCGTAAAAAGGCGGTTTAGTGGATCGGGTGGTCAGACTTTGCGACTTGGTTGCTTACGTGTCATCGTGTCCCGTCGGCCTTGACCGTTGTTCACTATATCAATCACTGGATTGTCTCGCAGCGGGGTAGCCTAACGGTTAAAGTGTTGTTTCATCAGATCTACGTACCAGCTTCGATTTCGCATCTGGGTTCGGCGTGTAAAGTATATTTGTTCTCACTGCGATATTGATGCTACACCGGCATAAAACAATACTCATTCCACTTCCTGATGTAGGTAGTCTGGGCGAAGACGCATTCCCTGGGGTGTGGCATCCGGTACTGCCCCACCATACAGAACACACGGCCGACGCAGGGGGGATACCTCATTGCCTGTATGTACGGACCAGCGTAAGTAACCCCTGAGAAGGGGAATCCCCTACGTTTCACAAGCCACATTTAGTCATTATCAACGGGACCCGTGAAGGTCCGGGTTAGAATATTGATCTTCAGTAGCCCATGCTTGTTGTAAGCGGCGACTAACGGGATGGGGTGGTCAGGCTGACTTGGTTGAGACAAGTCATTGCATCATTTGTACTCCAATTGCGTAGATCGATGCTCATACTCTTGGTCACTGGATTGTCTGGTCCAGACTCAATTATTTACAGACAGCCGCCATGTAGCTGGAATATTGCTGGGTGTGGCGTTAAACATCAAACCAACCAACAATTATCCACGGGAGTGGGTATTTCCTTGTATTTTATTAAATAATGTATTACACAACGGGACGAAGGTCCTTGAATCCTTTCTAAGCTGATATGTATATCTTTTCAATTATTATTCATCTGATACTGATGAGCGTGTCGATGTTACAATTATACAGATGCACACCCCGTTTTTTTACAATATAATCACCTGATTGTTGCTCTGTCTATTGGGTCCATAACAGGGGCAACATAGGTAACAGAAGACCTTACGCCCACGGCGACCTCCCCTGCAGCAACTGCACCATCGACTTCCCGTACTGTTACGACGGCCTCTGCAGTGAGTACATGTGTCCTCCAGTCATTTACTGTCATACAGCTGGGGTCGAGACAGGCGGAAGTAGAATCATGCATGTTATTATGTTAAAAGTTATAGCGCTATACATCTCGTGATGTGTATCCTTGAATAGTGTTTTAAAGACTGTGTTGTATTTATGTTCAGGTAAAATATTATATCTAAATGTTTTGGGGCGGTGGGGTAGTCTAACGGTTACAACGTCCGCTTGTCACGCTGAAGACCCCGCTTCCATTCCCACATGGGTACAATGTATGAAGCCCATTTCTGGTGTCCCCCGCCGTGATATTGCTGGAATATTGTAAAAAAGCGACGTAAAACCATACTCACTCACTGAATTGTTATTTGAAAGCGTATTTGTTCATGTTTACAGGTAAGGTTGAGCCGCCCCCAGAACCAACACGTAAGTCAACATCATTTGATATCGATAGGCTGCAGCAAACTGATTTTTTGTTCTTCGGATGTCAGCACTGTGGAGTTGATGCATTTATTTTAAAACAACGAATGTTCATAAAACAGAGGGGCGACATTTCTGAGTTGATCCTAACACAGTTACCATCAAGATACTAATTTAGATAGCAAGTTACTATCACTTGCTTGGTAACTGTGTTAGAATCTACACTGAACCGTGGCTCTTCAATTGTAAATAAAGAAGTTGTTCATCCAAATATCTTATCCTTGCTTAATGCTCCAATTTCTATATGTCTCTGAAAGAAATGAATTACCTCTGACGGAACTTCTAGGGTTGGAAGATGTTTCAAGGATCCTTGGTAGAGGGTTTATCTCTGGATTCAAGTTTGTACAACTCTGCGGTTTTCTTTTGTATTACAAACGCATCTCTAAATCACTACTTATTCCGAACAACAAACAATCATATTGTTGTCGCCTTGCTTATTACTGTTTTATTGCTATTATTGGTCAAAACAGGTGTCAGATAAGCTCTTATTTGCAAACACGATATGTTGTGTTTTCATATGTCCATTATCATATGTCGCTGTTCTATCCAGCTACAACTACAAAGGCAACAACAACTACAACGACACCGACAACAACACCGACGACGACACAGGCCAGTGAGTGCGAAAGAAAACACATGAGAGTAGTTTGATAGAAAATCTTGTTTTTCGTTTAGCAGACATAGATGATAGATTGTTTGAATTTCAGTTCTTCTTCATTGGCTTCTTCTGCTGCTGCTACTACTATTATTGATTCTAATATTACTCTTACTGCTGCTGTTGTATTATTACTACGACTACTACTACTACTGCGACTACTACTACTATTTTATTATTATGCTAATATTTGTATAGCGCCAGTATCCAGCTCAGCTGCTCAGAGTGCTTTTGTTCGTCCCTCGATCATTGGATGTCAATCTCAGCGGCACATAGCATTATTAATCTCAACTCCTTGGGGATCATACGCCTCTTGCAGCCTCTAGGCGCATCGAGTTAATGTGGCTTTCCCATCCTTACGAGGTACCCATTCACAGCTGGGTGAACTGGGACACATAGTTTACTGCACGTTGCAGTACCCGCAACAAGGTGTTTGCACGTATTCATGTGGCCACCATCTGGACATATACCAACGGATTCGTGGGTTCTTTTAAGTGCACAGGGTTGTGTACTGTACACTAGGGGTTGTGACAACACTGAAAGGGTCTGCACACAAAGTTGACTCCAACATACTTACACCCGATCACTGGTGGGCTCGATCCCGATACCTCAACCTCGCTGGATCACTAGCCTGGCGCCGGACAGCTCGCCCACCGCGCCCTTACTACTACTGAGTAGCGTTGCTGCTACTACTTCTGTTACTACACTAACAAGTCCTACTTTCGCTTCCATAAATACTACTACTATTACAACAACTACAACTACTACTACTACTACTACAAGTACTACTACTACTACTACTACTACTACTACTACCGAACGCTCCTAAAATGTTACATCTGACTTTTCCAATTATTACCCCAATTATTAAACTACCACCGGTACTTCTACTAAAACGTAACATCGAATGGTATCCTTCTTTCAAGATTACATTTCTAACAATTTTCTAACAAAATTCTCTCACTGATGTCATTTCTGTTTCCATAGCAACCACAGAAAAGGTCACAATTGGATCTTCCAGTCAGACCCGTCCATTCACTGCGGGATACATCTGTGTGTTCTTCATGGTCAAGTTTCTGCTCAGGGCAATGGTATAACAGCAGACTTACTGCAATGGTTACTGCAGTAACCAGGCAACACGTGGACGTTACCAAGGAAACTCAAACGTTTATTATTATTTTTCTTCTAGAGATGTACCATGCAGTGCACTGAACATACTCCTTTAGCAAGCTAATGAAAATAGTTATTTTGTCCCAGTTCCGCTTGCGTCAGTGACAACATTTCTAATGTTATGAAAATCGCAATTTTCTTAGCTGCTTGCAAGCTGACAATGCAAGCCTTCAGTTTTCACTAGACGATAAAATTTGGTCTCTCTGGCAAGTATCGTTGTAAAATACAATATATTTAATGTTATATATTAAATGTTTGAAAATGTTGACAATACACAAGTAGTAGGACCCTTACTACATCCTGATTGCCTGGCATCAGAAAGTATTCACTTGAAAATCCGATATGAGAAAACAAATATTAATTTTATCAAAGCGTCATGGGGTTGATTAACTGTGATCCAGCTCAAATACATCGTAAAAATATCTGCTTCAGTCTGCTCTTCACATCATGGGGGTGGTGGGGTAGCCTTGTGGTTGAAGCGTCCGCTCGTCATGCCGAAGGCCTGGGTTCGATACCCCTCATGGGAACAACGTATGAAGCCCATTTCTGGTGTCCCCCGCTGTGATATTGCTGGAATATTGCTAAAGCGGTGTAAAAAACAACTTACTCACTCACTCACTCTCCACATCACAGAATAGCCTTTTCCCAAAGGTATAATTTAGCCCCAATCATTTATGGTTTCTTTTGCCTGACAGTTTATGCCATTTTTGTACAATTTTAAAAGAATAGTTTTTTTTGTAGAACATTTTCTATGTAGAGGACTGCCCTGAGAGATGCAGAAGTAAACATCCTCTATTTTATAATATATCATATTAGTTTAAAATACTTGTCTCATTACGTAAATGAGAAATGTTATGAAGGAAAAACGTGTTTTGTAAATATGATCCGAAAATATATGAATAAATTATTTTTTGGTATTTCATCTTTATATTTTAATTAAACGACTGTGTTACACACGCCAAGGAGATACGTCCTGTTTAACAAGCCTCGTAGAGACGGTCCTGTAACACATGTCTCGTGGAGACGATCCTGTAACACAAGTCTCGAGACGATCCTGTAACAAGCTCGTAGAGACGATCCTGTAACACAAGCCTCGTGGGGACGATCCTGTAACACAAGTCTCGTGGAAACGATCCTGTTACACATGTCTCGTGGAGACAATCCTGTAACACAAGCCTCGTAGAGACGATCCTGTAAAACAAGCCTCGTAGAGACGATCCTGTAACACAAGCCTCGTAGAGACGATCTTGTAACACAAGCCTCGTAGAGACGATCTTGTAACACAAGCCTCGTAGAGACGATCTTGTAACACAATCCTCGTATAGAGACGATCCTGTAACACAAGCCTCGTAGAGACGATCCTGTAACAAGCCTCGTAGAGACGATCCTGTAAAACAAGCCTCGTAGAGACGATCCTGTAACACAAGCCTCGTAGAGACGATCTTGTAACACAAGCCTCGTAGAGACGATCTTGTAACACAATCCTCGTATAGAGACGATCCTGTAATACAGGCCTGGTATAGACGATCCTGTAACATAAGCCTCGTAGAGACGATCCTGTAACACAAGGTTTGTAGAGACGATCCTAGACAATGACTTAATTCTCACCAGAATCATGTAAATATGTGGCTTTGTAAAACTTCATGTTTTCTCGTTATCATATTTCTGTAAGTATGTTGTGTTTAAAGAACATCCAACGTTTGTCACTCTCCGAAGATACTGGAGGAAATAAAGCTCATATACACGTCCCGAAGGTACAATCACGTTTATACAGGACACGTCCGCACGCGCATACATACTTGTAAGTCGAGTTCATGTCCGACGATCTTGAACACGACCTCGATCTTTCACTTTTAACAGTGTGAAACAGAGCCAGGTACAGATGGATAAAGACCTCTGGCTCACGCATCTCCTTAGTAACAATTGGAAAGATACGGACAGCAAGGAAGAGAAGCATACAGTTGTACCGCAAGGTGAAGGAATTGATGGATAGATGCGTTCGTTGAGGTATCTGTACTAACACACGTATCTCTCAAGCAATAGATGGATTGTTATATGTGATTGGCGCATCTCCAGTAACAAAGATACGAAGGCAAAACAATAAATGGATAGATACATTTGGTTGAAAGCATTAAAGATGGATAGATACATTTGGTTGAAAGCATTGAACAAATCTATGGAGGGCATGCAACAGATGGATAGATACATTTGGTGGAAAACATTGAACAAAGCTACGGAGGGCAAGCAGTATATGGATACTTACATTTGGTTGAAAGCATTAAAGATGAATAGGTACATTTGCAATTTATTTTTTTTGAAAGCACTGAACAAAACTACGGAGGGCAAGCAGTATATGGATAGATACATTTGGTTAAGTATCTCCGTAATAAGATACAGAGTTTGGGTATCAGAAGCACTTTAACATATATATCTCGTAAAAAGCGAGAAATTCCACAAAATCGAAACTTTGGGACATCAACAGCGCAGATGCCAAGTATCACGTTTCATTAGTTTGGCCCTCTCATGTATATTTCATGTAATTGGAGCCTTCTTTATTCTCTATTCTTACAGGCATTCATTGACCATCATATCATGACCAGATCAAGACATAATTAGCCGTAAAGATCCGGCTTAGAAGTAGTCTTTAGGAAACCATGCTTGTCGTAAGAGGCGACCAACTGGATCGGGCATCCCAATTGCGTAGGTCGATGCTCTTGATGTTGATCACTGAATTGTCGATTATTTACAGAACGCTGTCATATTGCTGTGTTAGGCGTTAAATAGCAAACAAGGAAATAAAACAAAATTATCAGTTTGGGGAAATATTTGTATTATGAAGTAAGAAATACAATAATTATTATGACCGTATCACATTTAGGGCATCATCTGTATAACTTATACGCTAAGATGTGAGACATACCACTTGTGGTGTCGAATATCCCTTTATGACACCCAACTGGGAGATATTTAAGTAATCCCGCTGACAGTAACAGCGTCAGCAGTCGTGATGGAGAGTACGGTGACCCAGGTATTGTGAGAAGGACTCTATTCACACTATTCACACAGCAGGTTGAGAATACCACGCTGGGATGTTTACTTAATGGCTAAAACATATTGAGTAAAATTTGCTCAAGCATCCTCTCATATCTGTGTTCATTCGGATTCGCCTGTGTGACTGAACTGGTTACAGGTGAGTACCGCGTGAATTTGAATCTGACATTGCGGTATAACGAGGTATGGGCGTAGCGTTGAGCGATGAATTATTATGTTCTTTGACAAAAGAAACCATAGTCACTGTGGCTGTATGTCACAAATAGGGGTTCGGGTCGCGGCGTATTGTGAAATTGAAATCACATCGACTCGTGTATGAAGCCAGGGATATAGTCTCCCTGATGAAACGCACTAGTTGTACATGTACAGCATTGTGTCGGTTTAACACTGGCTTTGTATGCAACTTTTACAAATCCAGCCTTTGTGTTCAAGAATATAAGACACATCCGCGAAACCTTTTGAAAGTCACGACAAAGTGTATATGGTAACTCGTGTCAATATCGTACTATCAAATATAGGAGACATTGCCCGCCATGATTAATCTGGGTGAACCTCCATTCTGCAGTTCAGTGCCAGCGAAGCGTGGAAATCAACAAGGTCACGTGACATTTTCATAGCATAAACAAAACTCCCGACTCACTGGACTGAGAATATTAGTCCACGAGTCGTTGTGATGTAAATGAATACCTTACGGCCTTCATAAAGTATGCCACCCTGATTGGCAGGACCTCTCTTTAGCAGTTGAGGGGAAGGTTGTTCATTACGGGTTTCTTTGCGTGTCGAACAGGTAGGTGTGTCACGGTTGTCGATAGAGTAGTGTACCCTAGGCGTGCGGTACCGTGTATATTTGAATAATGTATCTTTTATGGTTGTGATGAATCAGGGAATCTGTTATATGAATATTTTGCTGTGAATGTATGTTATTTTACGCCGCTATCAGCGCTTTTCATCAGTTTCACGGCGGAATTTCAGAACAAATCGGGGGTTAAAATCTACCACACCAGCTAGCGACGCAGAATAAGCATGAGACACAGCTGATTCACGGCCAGCATCAAATCGCTCACCCCTCACTTCCTATCGACCTCGTTCGCGTCACTGCGTTATAGCTGATATTGTTCTGTATTCTTCATTTCCGGGGTCTTTAACTTCAATCATACATACATCTGCATATGAACAAACACACATATAGATTAGTTTGTGTGGCACGTGACGGAGTCATGTGTCCTCCTCGACAAACGGGAGCTGTGGTGTAGTTGTTGATACTTTTTGTCAGTAAATCAGATGCTGTCAACACCATGTGATTTCCAGCACTCGACCACTTCCGGGTTCGTAGTTCACGCCTTGTACATCATGGCACGTTGTCGGTAACTCTGGGCGCAAATGGATACGGATACATTATCTGATGTCGTATAAGGATAAACAGACTGTTTATGTAAATGAAATACACGAAGCAGCGTTTGTACATATCAGCTATGTTAAAGTGACGTGTTCAACACGGACGTATATAACATCAGTGTTCAATTGTCAGTGTTCGGCATCACATTGTGGGTTCATGGACTGACAGTGACGTGAGTATATACCTGTGTGTGTGTGTGTGTATGTATGTATGTATGTATGTCTGTGAGTGGGTGTGTATGTATGCATGCATGCATGCATGCATGTATGTATGTATGTGTGTGTGTGTGTGTGTGTGTGTGTGTGTATGTATGTATGTACATACTGCTGGAATATTTGAATATTGGTCAAACAAACACACAAACTCAGGAAGTAGTTGTAACGTTGAAATCAGTTTGACACTATTATGTACGACGCCACAGTCACTACGGTTTTCTTGTACTAATACATGTATATCGTTTGTCAGACATGTAATCTCCCCGTTCTGTGTTAGTCAGAGACGTGCCACATTGCTGACGAAAACAATTGTTATTTGGAAACAAATGGAAATTATCATCATTAACACATTCATTGTTTTGTTAGCACTAATACCCTTACCACGGACAACGTTCACATCGCCACGCTGGTCAGCGTTTACGTCATTGCTGTTTTATGCTGCATTGTAAATCTGGACCAGACAATCCAGTGATTGAAATCTTGTCCCTGTTATATACATCACTTAGTCTGACCTCCTGACCGACTCGACCTTTGGCGTGGTTTCTCTAATAGAATCAAATGACTTATAGAGAAAGTGTTCCCCTCCCTCTGTCGCAGCATGCAGGTTATTCAGGTTAACACCAAGCGCTTTACTTCTCCAAGACGTGACTCAAACGTTTATCTCTACTCGGGTTTAGAATTGGCCTTTTGAGGTTAGGTTACGCTCACATCTATGATAGTGATAAGCGAAATGGAGACGAGGATATCACTTAAAAACCGCAGAAACTGAAGGTAGGTATTTTACATAATTAGGAGATAAACGTACTGTGTTTGGAAATTAGATGAATGTTGAACCGAATTGATAGTCTCTAAATTTCATTTGAAGCCGAACGCGTAGCGTGAGGTTTCACATGATTAATTTAGAGACTATCAATTCGGTCTAACATTCATCTAATTTCCAAACACAGTATGTTTATCTCCATTCTACCATGACCGATTTAACATCGAACTTCCACGTCCTGCGGAAGACACTGCGTAATCCGGCATAGGACGAGAGGGGAATTGAACTTGTCTGTGAAGGGAGTGGTAGGTTCCGTTCGTATATCTATAACATTGCAACATAAAAACTATTCTGTCCAAAGGAAATAAGCATAGGCGCTTGACTCTGATATGTTTATAAGTATGACCTATATATATAAGATATATACATAGGTCATACTTATAAAGAGTCAAGCGCCTATGGAAATAAGCTACTGTTTATTCAATGCAATAATGTAACACCTAAGAGCTTGGTTTATAAACTCTGTCAAAAAAGAAACGCAACCCCTGTATTTTAGAGATTTTGATCTGAAGTTTTAAGACGACACAGCATTTTTATTATTTAAGACAGAAGTCTGAAATTTGGCAGAATAATAACCAAGATGGGCATGTTTAAAATTGTCATTTCAAAAGTCATCTCACAGACACCAGTTTGTCACCAGGGGGGCGTCTTTCTCAGTATCTCGTATGAGCACCACGAGCTGCAATCACTGCACGGCATCTCCTTGGACAAGAACGGATAAGACGCCGGATTCTTTCCTGGGGAATGGCTCTCCACTCCTCCTGCAGTGCAACGGCGAGCTGTTGCAGCGTCTGTGGCGGCGGCTGACGTTGACGTACGCGTCGACCCAGAGTATCCACAGGTGTTCAATAGGGTTGAGGTCTGGTGATTTAGAGGGCTATGGCAAGAGACATTGACGTTGGAATTCTGCAGAAAGTTCATTGTTGCACGTGCAGTATGAGGCCGGGCGTTGTCTGGTTGAAAAATCTGTGTCTGTTGGTCAATAATCGGGAGAAGGTGAGGCTGTAATACGTGGTTGATGTAACGTTGGGCTGTCAGGTTCCCTTCAACGATCACCAAGTCTGATTTCTGGTTGTATGAGATGGATCCCCAAACCATAACGCTTTCTCCGCCAAATCTGTCCCCTGTCGGACGCAGATGGGCGCAAAACGTTCATGACGTCTCCTATACACACGTTTTCTTCCGTCGTGATGTTGCAAAAAGAAAACGGGATTCATCAGAAAACCAGATGCGCCTCCAGTTTTGTAAAGTCCATATCCTTACGTTGTTGCACCACCTGAGTCGTCGGCGGAGATGTAGGGGGCGTAGTACAGGTCCAACAACTGGTCTACAGGCACGTAAACCCGCTTCTTTCAGACGGTTCCTAATCGTTTGAGCTGACACTCTCCTCAAACCTGGTATTTGTGTGGCAGTCACGGTTGGTAGGGCATGCCGATTACGCAGGTGATGGACCCGGATGTACCGATCTTGAAGGGGGGTCGTGATTCTTGGCCTTCCACTTCTCGGGCGATCGTTGGTCAAATTGAAGTTGTTGTAGCGGCTCCAAAGTCGGGATATCGTTGTTTTGTGAACATTTAGGTGCCGTGCAACAGTTCCAAAACTTTCTCCGGCTTTAACACGACCAATGGCGATATTTCGGTCGGCAGCACTCAATCGTGGCATTTTTCACACAGCTTTTCATGCGACAAATGAATGAATATAATACGAAAGCACATGGGCTTTTATACACCCCTACATTAACTGCCATTTTCATGATTTGCATGTGTTTTTTTTGTGCGAAGTCACCATGAGGGTCATTTCATGCGTTGTGACGGAATAAGCAATAAAATACACTTATGCGTACAAATGCAGTTGTTTGGATGGTAATCTTCATTAATTACGTGTATAATTTCAATACATTCGAATAACATTTAGTTTGGAAGCAATAACTTCATTCAAACGAATTTTTCATATCTGAGGACAGGGTTGCGTTTCTTTTTTGACAGAGTTTATAATCATAACTCCACACGACCGAAACCAGCCTATTGTTTTGTGTGCCGTGTTACTGTACCACCCCGCCACCCCCCGGCCACACTATAATGGAATCGTCTGACCTACTTATTTTCTTGGAAGTAGACAGATACTCAACAGTTTGAAATGGCAGACGAGCCAGTGTTTACATTTTGCGAAAGGTTGAAATTCGAAGTGACAGTGGTAAATACTTGACTGACTGTCGAACCTGAACTCTGCAGAATCGAAGAATACATCCTTTTCTGATCGATCTATGACCTGTAACTCATCAAAGACTGTTGATTTTTATGACCGGCGAGAGTCGATCATGATTTTACGTACGTGCCTCCACCCCGGCATACGAAAGAGAGACAGTGCTGCTTTGTGTACATGCGACTTACTTGGGATTCCTTGGAACATTGTTCTCATCATTTGGGACTGGATTGTGGCCAAGCTTTTCAAAGTGTACGTACATAGCAGTGACAGAGAGGTGGCAGAGAGCAGAATTCTCGTGGTTCAATTTTTGACATTTTGAACGATGCAACGGGACATGATGGAGTATGAGTGGCAAATTTTGTGTTTCGCCTGACCGTTATCTTGCGAATTTCCCATTCTAAACGGAAACAAATAAACCATTTACCAGGTTGGTAAATGTTTACGAACGTTTTGCCGGACAAATAGGGATAGATAGGGATGTATTTTCACAAGATTTTCTGATTTATATGTAAGATATTGTTTGTTTATGTTTGGGGCTGTGTGTTTGAATTATAATAGAAGGTTATATTTATGATAGTGAGGTTCCTTAATAATTGTGGAGGAGAAATCGTATAATTGTAGTTTTCGAGTTTTAATAAATGTTTTATCAGCATTTCCATCACGTCTGTTGTGTTGATATTAGTCATGTCGGTGGCCAAGCTGAAGTAGTGCGGCAGTGTTGTATAGGTGCGCAGTGAAGCGCCGTGAAATCAGACGCATTTTCAATCCAAATTGATACCGTCTGATTTTATGGATTGACCAATCAAATTCGAGCATTTCACGTAGCCATGGTAGAATGAAACATTGATGACCTGAGGTTGTATACAAAGTGACTCCTGGGTTGTAACATAATACATCCACGATTTCGAGAAAATACACTACTTCCTCGAAACCAAAACGTCACGTAAAAAAGAACTTGCTATATGCGAATAAAGCCAGTGTATTATCCCCACTATGTGTTTGTGGATCAGTGTGAACCAGTATGAGCTCGTATGAAGGTGAGCGTATATATCCCGTATGAGGATCCCGGAACAAATACATTCAAAGGCAAGTAAACTCTGTGTGTGTGTGTGTGTGTGTGTATTATTACAGTCAAAGTATGTAATTGCAGGGGATGGCAACGAAAGTGCACATCGTCGTCATGCTGACGTTTGTAGTTGGCGTGATGAGCGTCGTAGACGTAGCTGACGTGCCACTTCCAGGGAAGAGATGGGACACATTATTCAGAAGGAAGAGAGCGAGCCTTGATAAACGTGGGTTCAGCGTGGAGGAAAAGACGGCCATTATAGACCTACACAATCACTACAGACGGAAGGAGCGGGCAACAGACATGACGCTCATGGTGAGGAAAGGGGAGTAACTCTAGCGGTCCTCGTATTCTCGTACGGCCTTAAAGTCATGAAAAACAGTCATGGGTTTTAAATTTCTCCTAAAGTCAGAGGATGTAGATGAATGACACATGGCCATGGATACCGTACATACGACCTTGGATAGGTATGATATCCTCACTGCCAACATACCGTTACACGTTCAGTGGAAACTAGTACCTGTGACCATGCGTGTTTTTAATAGGTGTAGGTATAGGTAGTGTATGCATAAGACACGTTGTATGATTTAATATTGTTACCCATAAGGCGAGCTGGGTAGAGGGATACTTTATTACAATCAGACGAGAACCGACGCGGATATTTTCCAATAACGGCATCTGATGGTCATCCACCATTCCTAATGTCCCACTGTTTAGGTTGAAGAAATTCTGACAAGGTGGACAGTAGCCCAGTCTCCGTGTCCGTAACGGTCGAGGAGCAGGTATTGACCAGCTTGCAGCTTGGTTTCGTAATTAGACTGTACTCGGGAAACATTAATGGCTCTGGATCAGTGCCCCTTTAGCTACTTCGTACTGGTCTTTGGAATTACGATTTTCTGTGAATGAATCGGCTTTTGATTGGTCGACGGGTCTTCATTCGTTCGTTCTTACGGTTTATCATCCATGTACTAATAAGGTAATAAACGTCTCAAAATTCTGGATTTTAAATAAATAACAGTACAACCTGATAAATATTCAATATCTATCCTTCTCCAGTTTGGTATGCATTTCAAACACCGACTTGTTCATGTTCGAAACTTTCAAATTGGCATATTTAGTCAACACGTGTAACCAACTTCATTTGCCCTCGCCATTGGTGACTTGTAAGGATTATTCCTTAAAGTTCTTGAATTCAAAGCAACATCACTGTCTGTTTTGTATGCTGGTTTGACTCAGTGTAAGACATACAAAGAATGCTAAATTTGAAAGGTAGTTGCGAGGTATTTGACACAATGAAATGTGAAGCTTGTTTCTGTGTGATTATATTTATTTTTCGTAACATATATATGTTAGAAACCTGGGAGTTAGGGAGTGATGTAGAGTATGGCTACCCACCAGCTGATATTGGCTACATATGTACTTATATCCGGAAATTTGTTTATCCCGACAATAGATGGTTGGTCGTTTAACGCCACACTCAGTAATATTCCAGCTATGTGGCGGCGGTCTCTTAATAATCGAGTCTGGACCTGACAATCCAGTGATCAACAGCACGAGCATCGATCTACGCAGTTGGGATACGATGACATGTGTCAACCAAGTCAGCGAGCCTGACCACCCAATCCCGCTAGCCGCCTCTTACGACAAGCATGGGATACTGTAGACCAATTCTAACCCGGATCTCTACGAGTCAATATCCTGACAATACATAATATTATATGAGAATACGTAAGTGTCTGGATAAGCGAGGTTCGCTGCGGTTCGCTCCACCTGCACTGATGTCTGTTTCATCACCATTGGAGTGTCTGTTCACCTGGTTGAAGGTTTGATTGTACCTGATCTATGTTGTTTACAGGTGTGGGACGAGAGCCTTGCCCAGATGGCCCAGGGGTGGGCAGAAAGGTGCGTGTGGGACCACAGCGAGAACCGTTACAACAGACTACCTCAGTATAACTATATAGGAGAGAACCTATATGCTGCAACAGGTAGGTCAACATGACGTCATTTGGGTGAGTAAATGTTCTTTAACAACATAATAAAATCCCAGCTACTTTATTAACCAGTGATTGATATTAAGAGCAACGACACCGTCTTGTCACGACAACACGCTATCAGCAGGTGATACATTGCTGCTGTCGCCATTAGGGGGCTTGACAATCCTGTGGACCTCTGTTTTTCTTAGATATATCCCGGGAAAGCTCTCCAATTGCTTCACTACATCTCTCATAATAATATAAAGACAAAATAGTTTTCACATTAAATTATTTTTCTTTGTGGTCATGTTTAGAATGACGAATAATAAAGCATATGACTTTATGGATAACAACGTGTTGTTTATGGCATAGTGCGACGTTTCGGTGATGACGTCTAGCTTGATGACGGTGTAAGATTCAACATCGAAACGTCGCCGTTATCCATAAAGTCATATGTTTCATTATTCACTCACCAACTTCCTCAATGCCGACAGAACAATTTTAAATGACGACAGATAATCTAATGGATGTAATTGCCTATGTAGAGTTGCTTACCTTCGCGGTACCAGGATCCTTCTTTGGGTGGTTGGAATCATAGCTTCCCCCTGATTGTCAGCCACGGTTTATCAACACAATACCCCTGATGTGAATTTCAGCCACGGTAAAAGACATGAGCCACCTCCGGGATTTCCTCCTTCATTAAACTGACCTGACGCGATATAACTGAGGCTGTTTCAAACCAATTTTTACAATTATTAATGATAATCTATGTTCCTATGGTTACAGATCTACCTTCAGCTGAGACGGCAGTGGGGAACTGGGCGGAAGAGATCAAGTATTACACGTTTTCCAGTGGATATTGTTCCAAAGTCTGTGGACACTACACGCAGGTACAAGAACAACCTCGATAATACTTTTATTCAGTCGTATGTATCTAACTTAGGCTGGGTAATCGAACCATGAAGCATTGTCGATCAAGTAGTTTGTTCCAAACAGGAGATAGACAGAAATTCGTTGGGTCTTTTTACAAAGAATAGGATCTGCTTTGACTTTGAGAGTGTTTGGTGAACAGGTGTTTACATTTGGCCTTTGTCATCCAGGGCCCACTTGCACAAAGCGATCTTAGCGCTACGACTATCTTAAGCCTATGTTGGAGAATGGGAGTTACAATCATTGTAGCCCTAAGATCGCTTTGTGCAAGTGGGCCCTGGTACTAGTCAAGGTACTTGTTGTTGCCAGGTGATATGGGCGAAGTCCTATGCTGTGGGGTGCGGCATCAGGCATTGCTCCAACCCTCGTGGTCTGGACTGGTCCCGATACGGAGGCGGCTATATTGTCGTCTGCAACTACGGACCAGGGTAAGTGCATGGTGAAAGAAGCGACCCATAAATGTCTCGTTAACTGCTGTGAGACAGTGGAATGAGTGTTCCTGTTGAGTGAGTGAATGGGTTTAGTTTTACGCCGCTTTCAGCAATATCACGGCGTTTGTCGAAAGAAAAGGGCTTCACACTTACTTCCCATGTGGGGAATCGAACCCGCGCCTTCGGCGTGACGAGCGAACACTTTAACCACTAGGCTACCCTATCCCCCCATCGGATAAAATTACTCTTTCAGTACTATGGCGTCTTGCGAACAGAAATACAAAAAAATAATTTGTAACTCATAATGGACTGAAGTTTCAATTCTTTTATTCAAGACCCGTGAAGATCCGGTTTTAGAATTGATCTTCAGTAACCCAAGCTTTTCGTAAGATTTGACTAATGGCATCGGGTGGTCCGACTCGCTGACTTGGTTGACACATATCATCATATCCCAATTGCGTAGGTCGATGCTCATCCTGCTGATCACTGGATTGTCTGGTCCAGACTCGATTATTGACATACCCCCGCCATATAGCTGAAATATTGTTGACTGCGGCGTAAAACTAAACTCACTCATTCACTTCTATTCGATTAAGTGAGGTGTAATTTCGTGTCTTCAACCTTGACCAAGGATTAAGGGATAGCCTAGGGGTTGATGCATAAGACACTGGTTCGATGCTGCCCATGAATATCATTTCTGCAACCCATATTTGGTGTCATACCTTGACATTGGTGGCATGTTCCTGCCTGAAGTCTTTACCATTAACATGCTTCCGCCAGACAAGGATTGTTCAAGTCATGTAATCTTCCAACGTGAGTTCTAAACCAGCTCTTTCTTCCCGTGCCTCTGCAGAGGGAACATCCGTGGACGTAAACCCTACGACAAAGGCGGTCCCGCCTGCTCCAACTGCCCTGAAGGATTCAAGTATTGTATAAACGGACTCTGCAGTAAGTAAACAGTCTAAGAAACAGATAAAAAAGATGCAGATCCGATTGCGATCAAGGGTTCTATTTGGCATGATCTTCCTGCGATCGGATTGCGATCGTAGGGACGACAGTTCTGAAGCATAGCGTACCTGTAAGGTTAAGAAAAGACATTGCGCGCGGCAAATTATAATAATCTGTTAATACTCAATAAAGGTACATTTCTTGAGGGATAACGGTTTGTCTGTACGTGTTTTGATAATTTCGTTGTTTTTTCTGTGATTCAGTAGTACATATTGTCATCAGAGTGGTGTGGTTAACTGATTCGTGTTGTTTTTTGTTCAGGCCAAACAGAGGTTGCCGCGGCTCCATCGCCATCGACTGCGTCACGTCCCCTGGCGAGGTTCTTGCTCATCACCATGGTGATGTTTTCATTGTGGTCAAACAGCGTACACTAGAGGTGCAACTGTAGAGTATATGTATAACATGGTTCTACAACATACCATTGCCAACCTTCTGAACCGGACAACAAATCTATCATTACACCGCCATGCTATGTGTGGAATATGGCTAAAAGCGGCCTAAAACCATACTCACTCACTCAATCACCATATATCATAACGACTTTTAATTTGCAGCTCAAAGAAGGAACGAGAATGTGTCTTAAGTGGTGCAGAGCGTGATAGATTCAGTACTTCTTTGTAGATAGAGCCTGGTATTTTATTTATTTTCCCAAGGGAAAAGGTCCTTTGCTCTATGGGTAGACCTGCATAGGGAAATAAACAGAGGAACATGGCATTTAATAAATGTGTAACATGTAAATTTTGTCAGACATATGTCGCATGCATAGATATAATGCATTGATAAAATGTCTAGACTTGCTAATGACCAAGATACAACAGCCGATATGAAATGCGTTCTTCATTCTGTGCAGACTTGGAGCAAGGCTATTCCGTTAGCTGCACAATATGGCTGAAACATGCCGATGCAAAGTTAACTTGTAGTCGTTCATCATATGGTTTTGAGGGCCGGTGTGGTAGTCTAGTTTTAAAAAGCGTTCGCTCGTCACGCCGAAGACCCGGGTTCGATTCCTCACATGGGTACAATATGTGAGGCCCATTTCTGGTGTCCCCCGCCGTGGTATTGCTGGGATATTGCTGAAAGCGGCGTAAAACCATACTTACTCACTTGCTTATGATATGTAGTATACATCTGAATAGACGTGTAACAAGATATGTACGTTTTCGACATTCCGTAAGTTAGCTGTGATAAATGCAATGCCATGAATCTGTACATGTTACATTGTGAACATGCTGTTTTGTTTAATTTGAAACACCATCTCAGTGCCATAAATGTTCAATCTGTTTCATATTTTAAAATATATACTCGAACAATCTTGGTGTTAATGTTATGTATGTCTAACGCCCTAGACAGAGTACAGTCTCTTGGAAGAAAACTGAAGGAAGGAAGTGATTGAGTGATTGAGTGAGTGAGTGAGTGAGTGAGTTAGTGTTATGTTTGGATGAATGAGTGCTTGAGAGGGTGAGAGTATGAAGACGGTCTTATTAAAACCGGATCTTTTGTTTACCGGCAGCGAGAGCTAAGATCTTGTTTAACTACACTGGTTTAATCATGGTTGATTAACCACCTGACCATCTCGACCACCCGGGCCATTTTATGGATGGCGGGTCATAGGATGAACTGGTAAGTTAATCAGATGATGAAGAACGGAACGGAACGGAACGGAACGGAACGGATCACTTCCTTCAGGTGGTATGTGCATTGTTGAAAGGGAGTTTTTAGGAATGTGAAGAAGAGGTGCTTGATATATCCATACCCCAGTCACAGGATTTCGTGAACGTTTTAGCATCTACACATCACACGAGATCATCATGCAGGCACAAACGCACGCGCACACACAATCAAACAAATAGGTGACATGGTCACGTCTTAGAAATGACTTCAGATCGAGCATCTTTCTATCAAAATTGCATTTGATTCTTGTCTCTGCTCATGCTAAACGTGTCCTGAGCATAGTCATTTGGTTGGGTTGTGTTACAGTTTTAGGGCGACGTGGGCCAATACTAGGGTTGCGCAATATAACCGGTTTACCGGTAATTACCGGTTCAGACATGAAATCGATACGTATTGCGATACCCGGATCGAAAACCGGTTTTTACGACATGCATTCGGAAAACTTCGTAACACTCGGAAATGTTCGGATATTTCCGTTTTTCACACCGAAAATCAAGTTAAGTTCAGTTTGAAGTTTTGTTCAAATATTTCGCAAAGTTTTTGATCTGAATGTTACATATATATTTACTCATTAATGACCAGTGATCCCTGATATGTCCTGACCAGGTCAAGTTGCTGTCTAAAATCTCGGGGCTTTTTTGATAGTGGAGAAACTAGTTCAAACTAGTAACCACTGTGTTGATGTTTTCCTTGTTTCCTTCATTTTAACATGATTAAAAGTTTTAATTAAAGCTTAATCAAGCATAGTGATTTTGTTGTGTTTTTGCTTTATAAATCAAGCATTAACTCGATTTTAAGTAAGTTTTGATGAAAAAATATTCTTGCAATATATTGCAATAGGTATCGCAATATATGCTTTCGAATCGCAATATATCGCAATATGAAAATTCTCTGCAATACCCACCCCTAGCCAATACGAGGACTTTTGCGCCCAACACGTTGACTTGTCTTATTATAAATCACAGCTTATTACATCGCCGAAAGGAATCGTTTAGATAACATAAAACAAACGACAGCACTATTGATATTCTATTTGGATAGACATATACATATATCGAATAACCTCGATTAAGACCCTTAAGTAATCACTTCCATTTCTGAAACATGAAATACTCATTCATAAAAAAAGCAGTAGGTTAAGATGACAGAGCGTTAAAATGATTTAAAATCACAGTCATTTTCACCAGAGTGGTATTACCTCCCTTTTATTAGTTGTCCCTGTGTGAGTGAGTGATTTGAGATAATCCCATCAGCACCTTTCCAAAACGAGCCTGTATTCAAGGACTTCCATGGTGTAGTAGAAAGCGCGCCCTCTTCGAAGGTGAGTGAGTGAGAATGGTTTTACGACACTTTTAACAACATTCCAGCAGTATGAAATTCCGAAATGGGCTTCACACAATGTACATGCCGGGGAATCGAACCCGGCTCTTCTGCGTAGGTAAGCGATCGATTTAACCACTAGGCTACCCTACTCCCCCATGAGAGCGAAATGTAGATGGTACGATTACCGAAAGATACCAAAATATATTAAAACATGCTACATGTTGTTACCCTGGCTGGCGATCGGCATTAAGAGAACAGAACAAGACCTAGTCGGCTCAGAATCAGTATAAGTTGTCTGAATGGGGTATTCTCTTGTGTATTAATCAGAAGCTGAGCAAAAGCAATGCATGTTCTCGAATGCCTTCATGAAAGTGATAACATTTAATTGCTATATACAGGAACCATTCGCGATTACAGCACTGTATTTACTGAGTAAACATTGAATGCATGCATGTGAAAAGGTTTCTCCTCATAAGCATGAATAATCCGTCAACGAGCGTCAGAGGTCAACACCAAGGAACCATCCTCACACTGCACACCAAGGCAATCACAAAACTGTTCTTTCACTCCCTAGCTGTAGAAACCCGGTTCAACCACGTCTCAGCTTTGTCAACAGATCCGATCATTGTCGGCTATCGAACCCTATTTCTCGTTAGCATGAATACCACTACTTTCTATAGCAGGTAGATTTATCGTTGTCATATAGCGCTTGACTGTGAATAAAGAACCCGAGGTAAGCTATCAATATGGATTACAAGCAAGGGCCGAGGTGAGTTAACGGTTTAACTTGTTTTGGTTGTAGAAAGAATTTCAGAAATGAAAAATTAAATTTGTATCCGACGTTGAATCCGTATTCTCTAAACCGTAAATTCAAGAACCTTACAGTTTGATTTCTCCAAGGAACGAACGTTGGTATGTTTGGTGTGTGCCGCGTTCATGCCTATCCATGGTCGCTGTTAGTCGTTGGTATATGGCCTTAACCACATAGCGCTCTAATCAGATTCGTGTTTATAAAAATTATTCATGAAAACATTTAGATGAAACTTTCGTTCTTTATTTACATACTAATTAAGAAATTAACTTTGTCGGTGGTTGATGAAAATGATGTTCATAAAGTGTTCGCTCATCACCCTGCAGGCTTTGACTTTCCACATGCGTGGTGCCCATTCCGTCGCACTGATGGTTTTATCCTAAAACAGCATAAACCCTAAATGGCGTTGTGCCCATTCCGTCGCGCTGATGGTTTTATCCTAAAAACAGCATAAACCCTATACGGCGTTGTGCCCATTCCGTCGCACTGATGGTTTTATCCTAAAAACAGCATAAACCCTACACGGCGTTGTGCCCATTCCGTCGCACTGATGGTTTTATCCTAAAAGCAGCACAAACCCTACGCGGCATAAACTGTCACTCAGTTATGCAACTTAATGTGTCTTATATAAGATGTAAAAATTGTTGACTTGTTCTACTCCAATGCCATTATAGCCTCTGATAGTAGATACCAGGAGGGGTCATATGATCAATTCAACGGATGACCCAAGTACGAAACTAGTACCGTGAAGCCACACTACTCATATTTCCCCACACTATCTTAACAATGTACATTACTCACATATTTTCCTTTTATAATAAAGGGATTACTATTATGATGTAGTGAATGTCAGGTTTTCATATATTCCAACAGAACAGTGTGGCCTATTTTACCACCAGACTCACTGACTCAGGTGGGACATTGTTTTCGCAACCTGACAAAACTGAAAGTGTTTTAGTTGTATTTTAATGTTATACTTTGTAATGTTGCATGTTTTGTTTGCAAATGTTTCTGTATCTGTTACTGGGTCACAAGGGGGGAAAGTTGTTGTTGGCATGACGTATACATGATCCAGGACATGAGATTATACCCTGTAGCTGAAATCAGTGTTGACACCAGGTGTTCGGGAACAGGGTGTTACTGAGCATTTCTGGCCCTAACGGTAGCATCCACCATTCACCCAATTACCCTAAAATTGTAAATTTTAAATGGACACAATGTGTGAAGCCCATTTCTGGTGTTCCCCGCCGTGATATTGCTGAAATATTGCTAAAGGCGGCATACTCACTCACTCACTCAGTACAACACCATATACATTGACACAGTTCAAGTAAATACAGAACAACAAAGCAAAAGAAGAAACTGCAAACTAGGTATAAAAATCACATGAATACACCACTTATATAAGCAATAACACCAGGTGTTCGGGAAAAGTGCAAGCCTCCCGGTAGCAGCCATTCATACAATTTACCTGCTTAAATAATACGACTTAAATGTCTCACAATAGTACTCAGTCAGTACATGACAGCATATTCAGTAAATCAATATTGTTTTGATTGTGTCTTTGTCGTTAATGCATTATATATTTATGAAATAAATAACTGAATACGAATTGTTATAATGTATACTATCCCATAAAAGAAACGCATATGCGTTTTGTATTTTTAAAAATCGATTAATTACCTTTTGAGTTCAAACAATCTTCAAAATATGTAACATAAGTGTTGATAACATGATTTTACACAATTGCACAAGAAAAAAATCGAAATTGATTTTGATGAGATTTCTTATAAGGATTAAAAAAGCATCGCCACAAGGGAACCGAACTCACCTTCCAGTTGAAATTGTGCAGCAAAGAGCATGCACTGTTTGGCTATAAAAATCCAGATTATTTCGGAAATCGGCATTCGTTTGGAAGGAGTTAAAAGGTCAAACCACTACGCTACCTCTTGACTCTGCGACTCGGAACATCGCCATTGAAAGAATGCACGCTGGAGATTACGTACATCGGTACATCCGGGTACTACATTTGCGTGGTCGTACTGCTACGGGTGAAAGCACAGCAGCCAGGGTGCCTGAACTTCGGAGGATATCCGGTCAAACTGTACAGAACAGGTTGAGAGATATTGGACTGAGAGCCAGGAGGCCCGACGTCGGGACCGTGCTACGTCGTCACCATGTCGCTCAACGTCTCCGATATCTAAAATTATCCACTTGGTTTTATAGACATTTCCTTGTTCTGTACCGATGTAAAAAATCATGTACTAAAGTCTATTTGTGGACGAGTTTTACATGTTTGAAAATACAACATTTTCGCAACAGATTTCTGGCCTATGCGTTTCTTTTTGGGATAGTATATTATTCAGGTCATTTGTATTTTAAAGGCAGAGGTATCTAGCTATGTGTGTTCCTGTATCGCAAATATCATTTATTGACTATTCCATAATCTCTTTATCATAAAATGGCATTCTTGGACTGATTCATGTTAAACACGTTGTGACCCGTG